TAATGACTGAGCCACCCAGGTGCCCCTCTTTGGTAATATCTTTAAACCACCTGCAAAACGACTGTCCCTTTATGGGGACACAACCTATAGTAATAATTACTAGTATCCATGGAAAATAGGGGTAGAAGGATCATGAAAGGTATATGTAGAAAGTGGTCTTCAAGATGGACTAAAAAATGAGCAGGATTTCAACAGGCTGAAGGAAGAGCAAGAGCTACAGAAACAGCAAAATGTGAAGTGGGAAAACCAGTGGTAGAGGGATTCTACACAACAAGTAAGGAAAGGATACTGACCATTTGTTGAGCTTGTGCTATGTGCCGGGCATTACATGCATTCTCTTATTTGATCTTCACAAGTTAGTTATTGTTAGCCCCATTTTAGAGATGAGGAAACAGAAAATTAGGGTGGTAAATAGTGAGGCAATAGTAGAGGTAAGGACTTACCTTTAAAGTCTCTATTTCCATTCTTTATGTGGTTCTCTTTAATTTGGGGTATTCATGACAATTTTCGTAATAAAACATTTGTAAAGTCTCTTGCTCCTTGCAATTTCTCTACCACAAGATGGCTTAATGGGAAGAGCATTATCACCGAATACCAGTTATCTGTGCAACTTTGGATATGTTTCGCTCTCCTTCTGAGTTTCAGTATTTGTTCTCATCTGCAAAAGCAGATGAGATTCACCTCATCTGGATGGGATTCATCTAGAATGATCTCCAAGCACTCTTCCAACCTTAGAATTTATTATTTTTTTAGTCTATGATTTTTTATTCATTGTTCAATAAATAATTGTCTTTCACATGTTCATACTCCTATTTTCTCAGTAGCTTTTTTTTTTTTTTAAGAGAGAGAGAGAGGTGGGCGCCTGGGTGGCTCAGTTGGTTAAGCGACTGCCTTCGGCTCAGGTCATGATCCCGGAGTCCCGGGATCGAGTCCCACATCGGGCTCCCTGCTCAGCGGGGAGCTTGCTTCTCCCTCTGACCCTATCCCCTCTCATGCTGTTTCTCTCTCTCTCTCTCTCAAATAAATAAAAAAAAAAAAAAGAGAGAGAGAGAGGTGAGAGAGGGGTAGAGGGAGAGGGATAGAATCCCAAGTGGACTCTATGCTGAGCACAGAGCCTGAAGCAGGGCTCAATCTCACCACCCTGAGATTATGACCTGAGCCGAAATCATGAGTCAGACACTTAACCGACTGAGCCACGCAGGTGCCCCAGGTTATTTTATTTTTAAGACAGCTTTATTGAGGTATAATTGACATCCAATAAACTACACAAATTTAATGTGTACAGTCTGATAGGCTTTGACATATGTATGCGCCTCTGAAACCATCACTATAATCAAGATAATGAACATTTCCATCACCCCCAAAAGTTCCTTGTGTCCCTTTGTAATCTCTCCTTGCCCCTCCACTTTGCCCCTGCTCCCTAAGGAAAAACTGAGCTGCTTTCTGTCAGTACATAGGAGTTTGCATTTTCCACAATTTTATGCAAATGAAATTGTACATGATGTACTCATACTTGCCTGGCTTCTTTCACTCAGTGTAATTTTGAGATTCACCCATGTTGCATGTATCATTAGTTGATAAGCCATAATTTGTTTATCCATTCATTCATTAATGGACATATGGTTTGTTTCCAGGTTTTAGCTATTAAAAATAAACATGCTGTGAGCATTCACATACATGTGTTTGTTTAGAAACATGCTTTCATTTCTCTTGGGTGCATTTCTAGGAGTGGAATGGCTGGGTCATATGGAAGGTATAAGTCTAATGTTTTAAGACCTTGACAGTTTTCCAAAGTGAACATTCTAGTCGTGCCACATACTTGCCACAACTTGGTAAGGTCGGCCTTTTTAATTTTAACCATTTTCATATATTTTTAGAGGTATCTCACTGGGTTTTAATTTGCATTTCCATAATAATGATTTTGAGCATCTTTATTTGTTTGTTATCTATATACCTATTTACTTTGGTAAGATGTCTGTTCAAAACTTTTGCCTGTTTTTTTCAACCATATTATTTGTTTTCTGATTATTGAGTTCTTTATATGTACTGAGCCCATTATATACATAAGTCCATTATCAGATACATGATTTGTAAATATTTTCCCCTAGTCTGTGCCTTGTCTTTTCAATATCTTAATGTCTTGCTGAAAAAAGCTTTTAATTTTGATAAAGTATAATTTATAAATCTTTTTCCCTCTGGATCATGCTTTTGGTATCATAGCAAGGAAATCTTTGCTTAACCTAAGTGCTGGCACATTAAAGCCCATATACTGGGTGGCTTAAATAATACACATTTATTTTTCATAATTCCAGAGGCTGGTAAGTCCAAAATCAAGGTGGCAGCAGATTTGGTTCCTGGTGAGGGCCCTCCTCCTGGCTTGCTATGGCTTGTTACTACTTTCTTGCTATGTCCTTACGTGGGGGGAAAGAGAAGGGAAGCAAGATTTCTGGTGTCTTTTCTTAGAAGGGCACTGATCCCATTATGAGGGTCCTACCCTCATGATCTCATCCAATCCTAATTACCTCCCAAAGGCTGCCTCTCCAAGTACCATCACATTAAGGGTTAGGGCTTCAATGTGAATTTGGGGGTGGGGCACAAACATTCAGTCCATCAGTCACAATGACTTTTCCCCTGTGTTTTCTCCTAGAGTTTTTAGGTCTATGACCCACATTCAACTGATTGTTATATGTGGCATGAGACATGGATTGAAGTTAAATTTTTTTTACATTTAGATATCCAATTGTTCTAGCATGTTTTGTTAAAAGGACTATTCTTTCTCCACTGATTTATCTTTGCATCTTTGTCAGTTGTCCTGTATGTGTGCATCTATTTCTGCTCTCAATTCTGTTCCATTCCTCTATTTGTTGATCTTCATGCCAATACCACATTGTCTTAATTACTGTAGCTTTAGAAAAAGACTTGAAATCATGTAGTATTAACTCTCTAACCTTGTTATTTTTCAAAGTTGTTTTATAAAGAGCTTGTCAATTTCTACCAGAAACCTTGCTGGGATTTTGACTGGGATTGTGTTGTATCTATAAATGAATTTGAGGAGAATTGATATCTTAAGAATATTGAGTGTTCTACAGCCGCAGCAACTTCTTCCTAGAAACATCGCCAAAGGCAAGGGAAGCAAGGGCAAAAATGAACTATTGGGACTTCATCAAGATAAAAAGCTTTTGCACAGCAAAAGAAACAGTCAACAAAACCAAAAGACAACCGACAGAATGGGAGAAGATATTTGCAAATGACATATCAGATAAAGGGCTAGTATCCAAAATCTATAAAGAACTTATCAAACTCAACACCCAAAGAACAAAGAATCCAATCAAGAAATGGGCAGAAGACATGAACAGACATTTTTCCAAAGAAGACATCCAAATGGCCAACAGACACATGAAAAAGTGCTCAACATCACTCGGCATCAGGGAAATCCAAATCAAAACCTCAATGAGATACCACCTCACACCAGTCAGAATGGCTAAAATTAACAAGTCAGGAAATGACAGATGTTGGTGGGGATGCGGAGAAAGGGGAACCCTCCTACACTCTTTGTGGGAATGCAAGTTGGTGCAACCACTCTGGAAAAAAGTATGGAGGTTCCTCAAAAAGTTGAAAATAGAGCTACCATACGACCCAGCAATTGCACTACTGGGTATTTACCCCAAAGATACAAATGTAGTGATCCAAAGGGGTACGTGCACCCCAATGTTTATAGCAACAATGTCCACAATAGCCAAACTGTGGAAAGAGCCAAGATGTCCATTGACAGGTGAATGGATAAAGAAGATGTGGTATATATATACAATGGAATATTATGCAGCCATCAAAAAGAATGATATCTTGCCATTTGCGACAATGTGGATGGAACTGGAGGGTATTACGCTGAGCGAAATAAGTCAACCAGAGAAAGACATGTATCATATGACCTCACTGATATGAGGAATTCTTAATCTCAGGAAACAAACTGAGGGTTGCTGGAGTGGGGGGTGGGGTGGGAGGGATTGGGTGACTGGGTGATAGACATGGTGAGTGCTGTGAATTGTGCAAGACTGTTGAATCACAGATCTGTACCTCTGAAACAAATAATGCAATGTATGTTAAGAAAAAAAAAAAAAGAAGATAGCAGGAAGGGAAAGATGAAGGGGGGGAATCGGAGGGGGAGACGAACCATGAGAGACTATGGACTCTGAGAAACAAACTGAGGGTTCTAGAGGGGAGAGGGTGGGAGGATGGGTTAGCCTGGTGATGGGTATTAAAGAGGGCACGTTCTGCATGGAGTACTGGGTGTTATGCACAAACAATGAATCATGGAACACTACATCAAAAACTAATGATGTAATATATGGTGATTAACATAACAATAAAAAATTTAAAAAAAGAATATTGAATGTTCTGATCTATGAACACAGTATATCTTCTCATTTAT